CCCCTTCTAAGATCCTTTCTAAGGATACTAGAAAGTTCTGAGGTTTGGAAAACAACAATAAAACAATCGATTGACCAAAATCTCCAAAATGTTAACTCCAAAATTTGAAAACCTTTATATGATCAAAAAGAATATCAAAAGACCAACACCATTTGGCATCATTATGTCAGTTGAATTGTGATTAGGCATGAGACCTGTTTCCGGCGATTTTTAAACAGTAGTCAGTGCAGATTTGTAGTGTCCTTTAATGATTGAAATAATGAGGAGGGAGTTTTGATGGGAGGATTCTTGGGTACTAAAGGTTGTTAAGTCACTTTATCTGGTGAATGAAATGTCATCTTTATAAAACCTTGCATGACTGGGTTCCACTGTTCTGCAGAAGTCATTTCTTGGTCATTTGATATGAAGCAGGGACCAGCACTGCTCCCTGCCTCATGGTCTCTCCCTTTTTCATTTTCCTACCTAGATTTCATACTATACACTTTAGAGTTTGGAAGTAGTGTGCCCCTTCCCACTTCCTCACCCAGGATTTTGCCCCTGAAACTACAGTGATGGACAGCAGTGTCTGCATTGGTACTCACCCTTCAGCCACCGACACAAAGGAGGCACATTTGGCCATTTTTTCCTTTAATAGGAGCTTTCAGGAGTATTCTGTATTCTAGCTAATAATCATCACTGGAGGAAAGTAATAGAATCAGCCTCCTTTTATCTTGAAGCTGCTAGGAATTCTGTCTAGCAATAAACCAGAGTTCACAGGACCATTCACTGGCTCTAGGATTAGACTCAGATCTACGGAGATTGAGGTGGAGGCTTGCTTGTCTTTGAAATAGAGTCCTCAGCTGTGCTCTAGTATATATATCTCCTGGACTGTCCTCCTTTCTAATTCCACTGACATTGTTTTAATGATCAGCATGGACCAGTGACTTTCTGGAGATGAAAATGGGGGCCCACTACTGCTTGGATTGCATCAAGGTCAACCTTAGAACTGAATTAATAGGCAGGGCGGGGGTGGTGGTGAGGACTATGTGCTTCTGCTTGAGTTCTTTATAGAATGCCTGAAATATACCTACAGCCTTATGTGAAGAGAAGGAGATGAGAAGAAAAAAAATCACACACACACACACACACACACACACACACACACACACACACACACACACAAAATACAGCAAAACATGTGGTGGAGGGAGCCGTGGGAGAGATGATGAATAGAATCAGCCTTTAAAGAATAAAGGAATTTTTGTCACTTTCAAAGATTAGGATTTTAAGTCTATGGCAGCTTTAAGTCTAGTTGTCAAGTAACAAAATTACTCTAAAGAACACGGAAGAAAACATCACTAAAGCTGCTAATGTGTGGGGAAGAGGTTTTGATTTAAAAAAAAAAACTTGTTAGGGTTGTCTTGAAAACTTTACTTCCTTGAGACTTTTATTGTTGCTATCCAAAACTAATTCTGTGATATTTGTAGACAAAGAAAGCATTTTGGGTGTGTGGGGTGGATCTGGTAGAGGTTCTTACCTTACTTTATATTCACAGGCGTCTTCGATCTCCTCCCGCCCCCCACCTTTGAATCTTAAAATGGCACGTTTTCCTTCAGTACTGAGGACTGTATGCCTCTATTTGGGCAGCTGCAGAGTGACTCTGGAGAGAACCTGGAATGTTTACCAGTGTTGTGGAGGTAGAAATCAAAGTGGTAGCTATACATGTCAAGGAGCTGTGGTGGGGATTTGAAGGTAAGACACGTCCCATAAAGAAAGTTGATAGGGTCCCTATTGCTCCTAAGGAAGGTCCCAAGCTACTGGCATGATTTGCTCTGCATATTTAAATTAGGTTCGGGATCTGAACCGAACTAATCCCCTCAGCACCCTGGAGAGCCTGGTAATTATTCATTTCAGTCCATACCCAAGAGTGCCTTTCCTATATAGTTGTGAGTGTCAGCCTTTTCATAAAAAGGGGTAGCACAGGTTTAAGTAAAAAGAAAAATTAAGCCTCAATGATTTACAGACTTTAAATATCAAAGAATTTACCCCTTAGCTTCCTATATCTCTGTCCTATGAAACAGAACTCATCATAGACATGTCTGGATTTCTGGGAGATAACATTTCACCCTCCTTTACCCCATCATACACAGCACAGCAAGAAGGAAGCATGGGGCAATCTCACAAAACGTCTCCATACAACAAGAAAGCTGAAGGCTGTGAAATGAAGTCATTTCTACATTTTTTCTGGTTTTGCTATTTCATGCACAGATTTTGTACCACCATGTTTCCTAACCTATAATGACTTCAAACAGGTCGACAGTTTGAAAAACAGTATGGGCTCATATGCAAATATGTAGGTTGTGCCAACTCTTAAGGCATATTTAGAGACACCATTGGGCTCCTTAAGGACCTCCATTTTGCCTTTTCCCATTTCCATCTTTATCCATTATCTTTCAGTAATGTTACAGTACTACTCTGACTTAGAAAAAAGGAGGCAGCTCTTTTTTAATTGTTGAGATTATTTTGCAAAAGACAAAATAGCAATAGTCCATGATTATTTAGTGGACATCTGCCCTATAATGTGAGTTCAGTTTTCCAAGGATGTTAGCAGGAGTCTCAGAATATCACTTTCTACACCGGTTAATTCCCAGCTACACTATCTCAGCACCTGGCAGGATTTATAGGATTCATTAGAACCAATTCTGGGACTTTAGGAGTAGTTATGGAATTGGCATTTCAGAGAATCCAGCATAGTGATAAATAGTAGTGTCTATAGAAAGAATGGAAGTATAGGGACTGGGGTGGGCATCAAAGAAAGTAAGAGCTGCTGAGAGAAGCTCTGATCAACTTAGATGGCTGTTTAGCAAGATTCTTTATGTGCTATGAAGCTGCCCACTCATTCAAGCAAGAGATCTACCTGCTGTCTGCCATGAACATTTTCCTATGTTTCTGTGGCAAGGTGAAAGGGATGAGTGTGGGTGTCTCAATTCAGTTTGCACCGTGGGAAAAGAGGGGAGTGCTTGAGAAAAAGAAATGATTCAATAGAAGCAGGAAGAATATGCCTTGTATACTAGGGTGGACCCAGTACAGTTCTTGGCACATGGTGGATTTCCTCAGCAGATGCCTTCTGAATGAAAAGAAGGAATGGAAGGCATGTAAATTCTGCTGTGGAAACTAAGGTAAATGGATGGGTCATAGGTGAGGAATGTCGGCAGCCTGGGTTTGGATGATCAATTTCAGCTTCTTGGAGACTTGTGATTCATGGTGGCTTAGATGGTTCTGGTGGTGATCTGAGGGGTAAAACGTCCAGGTCTCATGGTAACAATCATTTCTCTGACTTAACTCTTAGAAGCCCCTTCTCTAGCCCCACATCCTGACAGGAGCAATGCTGTAGAGAGATAACCTATGTGTATCACACTCAGCTCTTTCCACTTCTTGAGATCACAAGTGGGAAGAGACAATGAATGCTTGCAATGATTGGAGACAGCATGCCATGTCTTGGTTGCTTATGGGAGGGTTTCTGATTGTTACACCTATTTTAAAGATTAGTCTCTGATTCCTCTTGGTCTTGTGTTAGTTTAAGGAGTACTCATAATATACTTTTCTGAGTTTTTGGTTCAGTCAAATTTCTATTTCTGGGGAAAAAATGCTAATGTATCACAAGGGAGCAATCCATAGGAATGAACACTTCCCTAGTGTTCAAGTAACCCATCATCCAATGGACCTGTTTCCCAGGACTGTGCTTTGTTTTTAGAATTAAACAAAAATAAGTCATATATACATTCCAGGAGGTATTAAAAGGAAGAATATTTTCCATGCTGAGGAAGAAACCTTGTGTGGGCTGAATGTGTTGTTTCTCTAGGCACACAGTGGAGGTCATTTGTGGCTTCTCTCCAGAACTGTGACTTAAACTTGACCTTGGGAAGATTTCCTAAGTGTGGAAGTGGAACCACTAAGGGAAGATTGCAATCTGCTGCCCTTGGCAGCAATCCACAATGGTCTCTGATGGAAAGAAGGCCATCCTCTTGTTTGTGTGGAAGATCTCCTCTATGCGACAAGGGTATGTGTACATTAGCCAAAGAGAAGCATCCAGTACAGAGTGTCCTTATATCATGTGTTAAGTTGTGCCTGGGTACAAAGACCAGGCTTGGGTCTACTTCCCTTTGTGCTATAAGTAATCCAGGTATCCAGTTAAGTGTCAACAGGTGAAGTCTAACAGTATTGTGGCCATATTTACACTGAGCTACCACAAACAACTGTGAGGATACTAGGAGCAGAGTTGGTATTGGACAGTCTGAGCCAGAAATAAGACAAGGTTTATAAAGAAAAGAGAAAACACTTGCTTTCCTACATGTATCAAATGTGCTATTTTATCTCAGTGTAGTGTTCTTATATAAAGTGCTGCAGCATTGGACAGAACACCTTTGGACATTGTCACTAATATCATCTAGACATGTTTACATTCCTACCAGGGCATACTACTTTGAACCCTTCCACTGAGATTGCAGAACTCTTGTATTTTTTTTCTAGAACATCATGCCATCTGCACACTTAATAAAATAATCCAGTGGTTGCCATGCTAAAACAGGACTTGTAGTGAAGGGCACAGATGGAGCCCAAGGGGAACTTGAGTTATGCACAGTGATGAAAACTGGAAGCCAATTTCCAGCTAATGGTCTGCCAATGGCCACTTGGAATGAGTTGGCACTGAATGTTATGCACCTCATTTGAAAATCCACAGCGAACTAAGATATTTTTCCCTCACAAAATCCATAATCTTGACTGAATAGGAGTTTTCTCAGTTGATCCGGTTAATCTGTCAGTGCTCCAAGGATCTCTTCTGGCAGGGCCATGAGTAAGTCTTTCTCTGGGGAACAGGCTATGCTCATTTCCACTGGCAGGACAGCAGCTTGCAAGGCTCATATGATTATGGAGAATACTCTGCCGAGACTGTAAGCAGGAAGGAAGGAAAGAAAAAGAGGGGGAGGTGGAACATGGTTAGTTATTTTCTTTATAATATGACATACCAACATGTAGCAATGACCTTAAACAAAGCCTAACACCCTTAGGTCAAAGAGAACGGGCTAGCCAAGATGAGGGTTACTCAATTCAGGATGGATTAGTGGTGGCCTGTACTCATGAAAGATCCTTGTACCACTTGGCAGAACACACAAGACATCTATTTCAAGAACCAGACAATGTTGGCTTGACTGGAGGGCAAAGCTGACTCTCTGGATTTGGCACTCAGCTCCATGACAGGGGGCTGAAAACGAAGATTCTATCTCATGTTCTAGAGCTGCGTGCATATACTGGCCCGGGGCAGAATGAGGCTAGAAATGGCGCAAAACAGTGTGTGTGTGTGTGTGCACACACGCGTGCATGCCTGGGTGTCTGTCTGTCTGTCTGTCTGTGTGATTTCATTCCTTAAGAATCTTTGTATAAAACCAAGGGAGATATATTCAAAGCAGTATTATTAAGGACTCCCAAGTTTTCACATTGAAACCTGAGTGAGGTTTGGGGCTAGAAAGAAAAAGTCATTCAAATCTGACTAGAGATTGAACTATTCAAGTGTTAGTCCTGCCTTGGACATTTAGAATTCTGGACTAGATATATTATCCTCATTTCAGCTTTCTAATTTCCCCATTATTTTTTCTGGCTACTGCCTAAAGTTCTTCATACACAGGTCCTCAATAAGTCATTCTTATGAGTATACATGAAAGCTTTTTCTAAAAATTCAATATTAGTTTCATTTAATACTTAAAATTATTGGGCAACAGCAGGAGTTATTGAGGAAAAAGGAGTATCCCTAGGATTTTGAGTCCAGGTGGCTTTACAAAATATGAGAAGATACACAATTTGTAAGCAAGTATTTGATTAAAACTTGCTATTTGTGAGAAAAATGCAAAAACAAAAGATCCCCTTGTAAGTGTATTAAATATCAAATAGTAACACAAACTTCTGATAAGGTTATAATGTGAGTAGAATGTTAATATGTTGCTCACGGCATTGTAAGCTGGAAAAATAACATCCATTTATTTAAAAGTCATTAAAGATTTATATCCCCTGATCTAGTGATCTCATTCCGAGGAGGGTACCCCAAGGTAAAATATAAAAGATACAAGAAGCTACAAGCAAAAACCTGTAACTCAGAGATTATTTATACTACAGAAAAAAAATCAAGAAACGGCTATTGTTGAAACTTAAGCTAAGTAAATTACAGTATGCTAATAAGATGGATGATTGGATGAGCATTAAAATAAGACTAATTATGATGATTATATAGTAATAGGATAAAGTTATATATGCTATAACATACAACACAATATATGCATGTGTATATAACAAATTTGTATATATATATAATATATGCATGTATTTATAATAAATGAACTGCAAATGAAAAAAGGAAAAGTGCTACTAAGGTTTCTAGTGAAATATTTTGAAAGACAGTAAGAAAAATTAAGCTCACTATGTGTACACTCGAACAGTGCTTCACTAATGTATCCTGAGAGTTAGCATTCACCATTATTACCTAGAAAAATAGTACTTTATACTTTCATACAGTGATGATATTCCATTGTCAGAGAGAGAGAGAGAGAGAGAGGGAGGGAGGGAGGGAGGGAGGGA